TCATCACTATGTCAGGGTGGTTAGGTTTGGTGCGTCTGGTACAAGAGTCATCACTATGTCAGGGTGATGATGTTTGGTGCGTCTGGTACAAGAGTCATCACTATGTCAGGGTGGTTATGTTTGGTGCGTCTGGTACAAGAGTCATCACTATGTCAGGGTGGTTAGGTTTGGTGCGTCTGGTACAAGAGTCATCACTATGTCAGGGTGGTTATGTTTGGTGCATCTGGTACAAGAGTCATCACTATGTCAGGGTTGTTATGTTTGGTGCGTCTGGTACAAGTCATCACTATGTCATGGTGGTTATGTTTGGTGCATCTGGTACAAGAGTCATCACTATGTCAGGGTGATGATGTTTGGTGCGTCTGGTACAAGAGTCATCACTATGTCAGGGTGGTTATGTTTGGTGCGTCTGGTACTAGTCATCACTATGTCAGGGTGATTATGTTTGGTGCGTCTGGTACAAGAGTCATCACTATGTCAGGGTGGTTATGTTTGGTGTGTCTGGTGCAAGAGTCATCACTATGTCAGGATGGTTATGTTTGGTGCGTCTGGTACAAGAGTCATCACTATGTCAGGATGGTGATGTTTGGTGCGTGTGGTACAAGAGTCATCACTATGTCAGGGTGGTGATGTTTGGTGCGTCTGGTACAAGAATCATCACTATGTCAGGGTGGTTATGTTTGGTGCGTCTGGTACTAGAGTTAGCATTATGTTAGGGTGGTGATGTTTGGTACGTCTGGTACCAGTCAACAGGATGTCTGGGTGGTGATATTTGGTGCGTCTGGTACCAGTCAACAGTATGTCAAGGTGGTGATGTTTGGTGCATCTGGTACCAGTCAACAGTATGTCAGGGTGGTGATGTTTGGTGCGTCTGGTTCTAGAGTCAGCATTATGTCAAATGAAATTATAGAAATAAATAATTTTACAGGTCAGGACGAGAATAAATTATGAAAGATCGAAGTCACAAGATGTACCCAGGCCCTGACGAGCTGTTTTCAAGCTTTCTAAAGGAATATGAAAGAGGAACTTGGAAAACAGTAGCTCTACAAGAGATCACAGCAGATGGGTACAGTACCTGATAAATGGAAAATGACCAGTGTGACACCTGTACAAAAAGAGAGTTCTTGCTTCACGAGTTTGCTGACCCTTTTTCACTTGGGTATTTAAACCTGTAGACCAAGATAAAGAATGTAATACTAAGTAAGGCCTTTCAGAAAATTTCACACGGGAGACTGATGAAGAATTTAGCACCACATGGTATAGGAGGAGAATTATCTCCTTGGTTCTGTATAGTCCTTGTGGCTTAGCGCTTCTTTTTGATTATAATAATAATAATAATATCTCCTTGGTCAAGGCACAGTTGACTGATAAATAACAAGAGTTTGTATTAATGGAGTAAAATCATGTATGGGACACACTGCAAGTGGTGTGATGCAGTGGTCAGTGTTGGCGTCTTCTGATGAGGACACTTAGAAAGCTACAGGATGACCTGAATAAGTTGATATCATGAAGAGGGCAATGCAATTCAGTGGTGACAAGTGTAAGGTTCTAATCCTAGATAAAATAATAACTACGGTATTTATATACTACTAAGTAATGTAGCTCTTAGTCAAAGTGAATGCGGCAAAAGACTTAGTGCCTAAGTGTTCGCGATAAAACTAATAGAATAATTGGCTTTATATTAAGAGGTATAAATAATAGATGTAAGATTTTACATTAACTTTATATATCTTTGGTAAAGATTTCTAGATTATGTTGCTTAGTTCTGGTTTCCGTATTACAGAATGAACATAAATGCACAGGAAATCGTTCAAAAAAGATAACAAAGTTGATCCCATGTATCAGAAACCTTTCATATGAAGATTGCCTGGGAAAGATATAAAATTAGGGGTATTGTCATTGAAGTGTACAATTTGTAACAACAATAAATAAAGGGAACCAGAATTATGTACTGACGGTAACAAGATAGGATTCGCAGCAATGGGTTCAAGTTGGACAAATTTAGATTTAGAAAGGGTATGGGAAGTACTCGTTTGTCAGTAGAATGGTGGATGATTGGAACACTCTCACGTAACGTCATTTAGGTGAGAACTTTGGGTAATTGTAAATATGAGTTGCACGAGTATATGTGAGTGTGAGTTGAACATGCCTAGTATGGGACAATAGGTCCCCATTGTTCCTTCATTCTTATGTTTGCAGATGTAGCAACGCGGTGGTTGAGCACCATGAAACTGGCTGAGTAGTACCAAGAAACTGGCTGAGTAGCACCAAGAAACTGGCTGAGTAGCACCAAGAAACTGGCTGAGTAGCACCAACAAACTGGCTAAGTAGCACCAACAAACTGGCTGAGTAGCACCAAGAAACTGGCTGAGTAGCACCAAGAAACTGGCTGAGTAGCACCAAGAAACTGGCTGAGTAGCACCAAGAAACTGGCTGAGTAGCACCAAGAAACTGGCTGAGTAGCACCAAGAAACTGGCTGAGTAGCACCAAGAAACTGGCTGAGTAGCACCAAGAAACTGGCTGAGTAGCACCAAGAAACTGACTGAGTAGCACCAAGAAAGGTTTAAATCTACATATATATGACTCGTGGTGTGAGAATGGACTTGGTCACAGACCGTCTCAACACTATGTGAGGGTGATGGTAAACATAAGAAATATTTTTAAGGAAAAAGAAAATTGGGCGTTAATCCTTAATACTTGCATGTTAGTGACGGCTACAAGGAAATCAGCAAGATGTGTCTTAAAAATATACATGCAAACATTAAATTAAAATTAAAATTAATTTTTTTTCCTTATAGTGCTTACAATGTTTGGTTTATATGTTGTAAAATGTTAATTACAAAGAAGGCCACTAACATGCCTAGGCATTTCGTGCAGACTAATATTAATTCTTACTCTATATTGATATAGGTCATGGAGCAGTACATTTGAACATACATTATTAGATAAATACATAATTAGATACCTAGCTAGGAACATACATAAGTAGATTTACAATATTGAGGTAGTACGAGTCATATAATAATATTACAAATGGTAAATTTAGCAGTGGGATTGGATTTGTCTGTTTCCATTAAAGTTTATATATTGGAAGTGTGTCATAGGTGGACTTAGGACTAATTTAAGATTAATAAGCAATAGCTATATTAGGAATTTTATGTTTACAGTCATTTAGGTGAGTGTAAGTATAAATTAAGGGAATTACAGATAACGAGAGTAGGACTATATTGTTTTGGTTGTGTTTATGATACAAAAAGGAAAGAAGGTGATTTTCATTTCATTTGGTTAGCTAATGATTGGGTGTGTTAAGGAGATTAAATGTTTTTTGGCAGTAGTTTTCAAAATGGTGATTGAGTCTGCAGTTCTAGAGTTTTCAGGCAGGGAGTTCCAGATTTTAGGCCTTTTTATGTTCATCAAATTGGTTTAGCCGGACACGAGGAATGTCAGAGATTTTTGTGTCTGGTATTATGTCTATGGGTCCTGTTACAACTATCAAGAAAGTGTTTTAGTTCAGGGCTAATATTAGAATTTATGGTTCTGTAAATATAGGTTCCACAGTAGTAGGTGTGGATGTTCTGTACGGTGAGTAAGTTTAGATATTTGAAGAGTGAGGACGGTGTGTTGCCTAGGATTGGATTACGAGATAATTCTTATTGCGGCGTTTTGTTGGGTTATTATTGGCTTTAGGTGGGTTCCTGCTGTTGAACCCCAGGCACAAATAGCATAGGTGAGGTAGGGATAGATAAGAGAATAGTGTAGTGTGAGTTGGGCTGATTGAGGTACATAGCGACGTATTGTAGAGAGGATCCCAACCGTTTTGGATACTTTTTTGTTATGTGTTGGATATGTGTGCTGAATTTCAGGTTGCTGTTGAGGTGTAGGCCCAGGAATTTGCCTTGATTTTGTGCAACACCTGCTCTGTTACCAAAAATAATATAGAAGGTTTTGTCAGTATTAAGTGTCAGTTTATTGGCAGTCATCCAGGTCGATGTTTTTACTAGCTCTTCGTTAACAATGGTGTTGAGTGAGGCAAAAGTTGGGTGGGAGATGACATAAGTCGTGTCGTCAGCAAAGAGAATAGGCTTAAGGCGTTGAGATACATTGGGAAGATCATTGATGTATAAGAGGAAGAGCAGGGGGCCAAGGACACTACCCTGTGGCACTCCAGTATCAAGTGGTCGTGTTGATGAGGTTGTCATTGATGGAGACGTATTGATATCTGTTAGTAAGATAGGATTTGAAATAGGCAAGGGTATGGCCTCTTATACCATAATGGAGTAGTATGCCGTGGTCGACTGTATAAAAAGCTTTCCTTAGGTCAATAAAGAATCATAATGGATATTCATTATTTTCCAGAACCGTGTAGAGCAGGTCTAGCATTTTTACAATTGCGTCATTTGTGCTTTTGTTTTTTTTCTGAATCCAAATTTGTGCTGTTACAAATTAATATAATCTACAGAAATAACCCGCACATAGAAGAGAGGAGCTTACGACTACGTCTCTGTTCGACTTGGACCATTTACAAAGTCACACTAACGAAAAGGAGAGAAGAGGGAGTATATATAGGCTAGGAGGTGAAACGTCGTCGTAAGCTCCTCTCTTCTATGTGCGGGTTATTTGTGTATCGTTCCAATAACGGTATTGTGCCTTTCTTTTGTTATTTATGAATATAATCTCTTGTGCACGAGTTTCTCGAAGATTTTGGATAGCAACGGTAAGTAGTTGTTTACATTTGCAGGGTCATCACCATTGTGTATTTTTGTGACCTTTGCTATCTTGAGTAGTGTCAGGAAAGTGATCGTTTCTATTGAGTTGTTAAAGAATAATGAAACAGCAAGCGAAAGGACATGAGCCGCTCATTATAAATAGGTGAACTGATGCAATTTGTCAGTTCAGGGGGTCATATCACACCTCCAACCTTATGGTCAAGTGTTACTGGTAATGTGTCAAGAAAAGAGGGAGCGAAGTTTTTAATTTCTGTAATCTGTGGCAACTACATAATTGTTCTTGTTTGACAGGATAGAGGAGGGGCGCGAGAGGCTAGGAGGAGCGGCAGAGTTTCAGTGTGAAGCAGTGTGTCTACCCACCACCACCACTGTTCCATCCCTCTGGCAAGTGCTTCAAAGCTGATACCTGATACGCTCAGTTGGTGGCGCTAGACAGTGTGGAAGATCATGTCTTGCCTGAACGGTGTGAAGCTACTGCTGGGAGTGTTGGGGGCTCTGTTGGCCTCCATCTACTATGCCCTTGAGTCACTCTTCAAAACCCTGGTGCCCAGGAAGTTCCGCAGGAAGGTCATCGAGGGTCAGCTGGCCCTAGTGACAGGCGGTGGCTCGGGCATCGGTCGTTTGCTGTGCCTGAAGCTGGCCGCCAGGGGTGCGAGGATTGTCACCTGGGATGTCAATACAGTAGGTCAGTAATAACTCTATAGCACTTTAACAACATATTTTTTGTTCACCTTTGTCACTCATTCCAATAACACTCGCGAACCACATAGACAAAATGAAACGAGAAGTATACTAGTTTCGTCATGTTTTATTTTTGCAATGTTTAATATATTCATTTATGCCATTGATCAGAGTTTAACACTCTTGTATGCCAGAGAACATTTGGACTTTGTGAAAAGAGCGGAGAATGATAAAGAATTCGTGAATAGTGAGGATGGTTTGGTGTTGTCTTGATTAGAACTGTTGAGTAACTTAGTTCATCTCATGTGCACTCAGTAGTAACTGGGAAATTATGTAGGTGAATTTCACTGTTACAGTCCTGAATTAACATTTCACACACAACTGGGGAGAACTCTGGCACATCAAAAACAGATTACACTTATTGATGTTGATGTACCTCGGAAACATGTAGGACTTAGAAATGATGGGTTACCACATTACTCCTCCTTCGATGCCCAAAGTCTCAGCTCCCCAATTCACGTCTGGACCTTAATGTGAACATATAATTCTAGAATTTGAAAAACAAAATATTCCAAGCCAGTAACACTGGCTGTATTAAATTTGGTTGTGGACTGTATATATAAAGAAAAAATTATTGGGCTTAACAAATTTTATATAATTTGTTAGTATCTTAATATGTATATAACACAATTTCAATAATTAAAATATAAGTTACATAGTTTCAAGTACAAAAAAGGGGAAATATGTCTTACCAAATTCTGGTCTTGATGATATAACCTAACAGGTCCTTCCTAGCACGCTGGTAAACTACTTTTGGCCAATAAATAAATACGTTACCTGTAGTGAGATTTAATTCACACTGGGAGGCGTACATTACATATTTGATGATATACGTGGTGGACAATGTGGATTCTCCAGCAACAGCTCATGTTTTTCATTCGTATTATCCTTATTTTGATAGTTTCACTTTATACCTGAACCCTTCCAGATACACGTTAAATTCACTTATTATTTAGAACACTATATTAGCTGATACTATTTCTGTCGGCTTAGATTAAATGAGATTAATTCTCCACAAATTCCCGGTGCAATCATGTATACTCCGTCATTTTCGTTGTTCTTTCCTCAAAAAAAACTTTTGTCTACCAGTACATCTTTTCAATTAATTTAATAACACTTCCAGGTGTGTACTACATTTTCATTATTGAAGTATTAATATTCTCTAAATAACATTTTCACTTTATTTATTCAACTCCTTACAGAATGTAAAGAATAGACAATATTAGTTTTCGTGTCAGAACATTTTTTAAAAGTCACTGAAGATACACACCTACACAATTTCAGATGAGCATTATTATCCCTATCAATTCTTACACATAAATCCCAGGAAACTTATCAAAATTTTCTGCAGTAACTGAGAAGGGAAGCTTAACGTCGATCGCTTGACATTTCTAGTGTTTATGTTTTATTATTATATTTGATTCTGTATGATAATTACTTAGTGGTCACAAATGTACTGTGACAGGGTAACGTTGTTGTACCTAATTTTTCATAAAAATAATAAAATAAGTTAGGGAATGGTGATAATGGAATAAAAGATTGGTGGGAGAGACAAGAAAAAAGGCGTTGGTGTCTTAAGGGGTATTTAAAAAGATATCTAGGATCTTCATATTTCAATACCATTTGGATGCCCTCCACCAATATGGTATGGGAACTTTCCTGGCGACCATTGCCAGGAAGGGGGTAAATTTTTTCATCCCCTCCAGCGGCTTATGACTCATTCCCAAGTAAGTAATAGTAACTGTAGCTCTGCTGTAACGAAACCTTTGAAGCTCCTGTAGATGATGAACCTAGTAATATCCTCATTGGTCTATCGTAAAGGGTTCTTAAATGGAGATATCGTAGGTTGAAAGTAGACACACTTGTAGGATGGTAAATATATTGTCAGACTGAGATGAGGGATGGAGCCCCAGCTGCCTTGCCTGTCTACGCCTGGATGTCCTGCCGCCGAGTGAGGACGGGACAGAGGAATGGGCCTCCTCGTGTGCATCCCATGACGTCACACAAAGCCACAGGCCTACGAGGGGTCTCGTGTCTAAAGCACATGGATGATACTAATATGCTATGCTATATAATACAGGGAATACAGGGATCAGCAACTATGCTGACAGCTCGGTCATGTTACGTATGTCGTCCCGACATACACTGCTATACTATAGGCTGAACAGGCAGGCGGATCTGGGCTGATTCTATACAATAACAAATTCATATATAACTTAGAACTAATGGATGGTACAACATGATTTTGACGTAATGGGTGTTAACGTAATCATTACAAACTATAAGAACAAATCATTATACAATATGGATGGAATTGATCGATCGATCTGTATTCATGCACTCTACGGATTCTGAGGAAGAATAATTATATACAAAGAAGTGTTTAACAGAAAGGCAGATTCGGTGCACTCAAATCTAGACTGTTAATTCTCAGAATACGGAGGGAACGTGAACACGAAAATTTCTGACAAACTGATCAGCTAATAATAAACACACAGTTGACAATTTCATTCATCTCGGACATCTAATTATACAGACTATGTACATTTAAACCCAATTCTGCGAGGGTAAGGTTTACATATGCAGAATGGTTGTTAGTTAACAAATCAAGGGCAACTCTTTCCCACGGTTCGCTAGTGGTTGGGTACACTTGGATTGAGTTAGGACCATTGACATTTCCTTTATGCTGCATACAGACACTACATTTCTTAACATACTCGGAAATGTCAGTTGCCATACGTGGCCAAAAGTATTTCATTCTGGCTTGTTTCACAGAACGATCCATACCAGGGTGTGCAACACCTGGTGCATCATGAACTAGCTGTAGAGCTACGTTCACTAGTGACTGTGGAATTACTAACTGGTAAACTCTTCTGCTTGGAGTACCCAACTCGGCTGTTCGATACAGTAATTCCTGACTCATTACAAAGTCACTAATGGGTGCTGGTGGCTTTACAGTAAGAATGAGATCTTCCTGGAGAAGGAATCGAATCACACCAGACCACATGGGATCTATTCTTTGTGCAGTTTTGACATCCTCGACAGTAAATGGAGGATCTGCAGTAACTTCACTAACGTGTCGCGATAAAGCATCAGCGACTACATTTGACTTGCCAGGTAAATGTTCAAAAGTGGGACTGAACTCTTGGATAGTTAAGGTCCATCTGGCTAACCTTCCAGTAGGCTGTTTGTTCTGGAATAAAGGTAACAGTTCTTCCTTACTGGAGGAAAGAACAAACTCGGAGGAGTGGATGACTCCCCCTGGTTGAAAGTCATCCACTCCTCCGAGTTTGTTCTTTCCTCCAGTAAGGAAGAACTGTTACCTTTATTCCAGAACAGGTCTGCTGAAGTCGACCAGCTCAGTCTGCCAGGTTTCAGCACTATAGTACGTGACCCATCCTCTGTGATGAAATATGGCAGGGAAACATAGTAAACTTTTGTTACCATTATTAACTCGTATAGAATAAGGTAGCATCACACTGCTGATGTGTCCAATTTTGCTAAAAAAAAAGCATATAATTTTACCGCTAATAAATAAATGTTTATTTAGGCAATGTTTTTTATATTAAATTATGTAGAATTGAATCTAGGATAAACCAGAAAAATCAAACAATGTATATAGATAAACAAAAGCCATCGACACCATGCCTAACCCTTCTAGGGTAGGGTAGGTGCCTGAGTCCGAGCTTTTAGCTCATAAGACTGTCATTCCCATTTGCTCCTTTGGGGCGGGGATGGCATACCAGAGAGGCCTGGCTTGTGGCTAGGCCTGGGGACAGTTGGTTCCAAAGATGAGGAGGTACTTGTGCCTCCTCCCATTGGAGACTTCGGTCTCAGACACTCCCTAAAGAGGGAGCCAAGGCCGGGCCACCACTTGGAAAAGGCCCGGGCCGGGAGAATACCGGCTAATCTTTAATAATAATAAAAAAAACAAAAGCCTAAGAACGAGGCTCAAAAAAAGGCTAACAGCAGTACATCTGGAAATATGTATATATATTTCATCAGTTACAATCAGATTTAAGATACTTGCTCAAAATATCTTATTTTTTTATTACTAAGATACCTTAATATATCACATTTTGGGAAAGGCAGATAACAAGAGATCCCACGGTCTATAAAAAGGTTATCTGCTGAGAAATACAATCTACATTCACGCTATCTAGACAGTTGAGAGAAGAATGTTAGAGTAGGCTCTCTCCCCGCCCTCCACTCTTTCCAGTCAACCTGCCGGCTGCGATAAGATAGATGAAAGGCCTGTTTGAAAAAGGAACAAAATACACCAGCAAGCATGATAGAAGATATTCTAAATGTTTGTTAAAAAGTAAAGTACGCCAACAGGTATGGTGGATCGAAGACAGACAACAAGACTTTATTTTCACAACTTTTAGCGAAACTTTTTAAGTAAAAAAAAAAAAACTCGTCTCTGAGCGAGCGTAAATGGTTTGCCCTACTGTGAATTATATATTGTACTAGTATATTCAGGCCGCAGTGGTCTTGACCAAGTCTAGTGATGTTTTGGAAAACCAAGGGCATTCTTTCTCCAGCGATGACAAATCATTTCATTGTTATGGTTATGACAAATCACTTCATTGTTGTTTATATGATATCGATGTTATGATACATGGAGATTGTATCCACACTTGACACCAGCTACACGATGATATTGTACTCTAGTAAATGACCGACATTGTAGTGGTGATAAGATATTAGATTGTTTTGAGACTGCAATCACATATTGGATTGGGCAGGTGATTAAGTATATGCTGAGATCATAATATATGAAATAATAGTAGCATATCTTGAAAGATGTAATTATGCCCTGTGGGGTCTAATGATAACTTATTGCGACCTTTATAATCTTGGATTTTGCAATTCCGCTGAAGGTATGCGGGTTTACGGTGAACTGTGCTACTCAAACAGCAGAGTTCGGTGATATCTTGCGTC